TTGTCTTTGCCTTGGTGGTAACTTCAGGTGTCACAGTCACACCAGGAGATGTGATGGAGGTGCACCATTGCTTTTCTCCTCTGATGTCATAGTACTGACTGGTTCCAATGTAGTTTGAGTGCCTGGTTCGACTGTCTTTGCTTAGTGGTAACTTCAGTTGAAGTAGTTCTAGTAGTTGAACTGTATGTCATAGTCACACCAGGGAATTGTGTTGGCGGTGTACCAGTACTGACTGGTTCCAATGTAGTATCAGTGCCTGGTTCAACTGTTTTTGCCTTAGTGGTAACTTCAGGTGAAGTAATTCCAGTAGTTGAACTGTATGTCATAGTCAGACCAGGGGATTGTGTTGAAGGTGTATCAGAGCTTCTCTTCTCTGCTGCCATTGTACTGGCTGGTTCCAATGTAGTATCAGTGCCTGGTTCGACTGTTTTTGCCTTAGTGGTAACTTCAGATGAAGTAGTTCTAGTAGTTGAACTGTATGTCATAGTCACACCAGGGGGCTGTGTTGGAGTTATACCAGTGCTTATGACTTCTGCAGTCATTGTACTGGCTGGTCCCAATGTAGTATCAGTGCCTGGTTCAACTGTTTTTGCCTTAGTGGTAACTTCAGGTAAAATAATACCAGTAGTTGAACTGTATGTCATAGTAACACCAGGGAATTGTGTTGGCGGTGTACCAGAACTGACTGGTTCCAATGTAGTATCAGTGCCTGGTTCAACTGTTTTCGCCTTACTGGTAACTTCAGGTGAAGTAATCCCAGCAGTTGAACTGTATGTCATAGTCACACCAGGGGGCTGTGTTGGAGTTGTACCAGTGCTTATGACTTCTGCAGTCATTGTACTGGCTGGTCCCAATGTAGTATCAGTGCCTGGTTCAACTGTTCTTGCCATAATGGTAACTTCGTGTGAAGAAATTCCAGTAGTTGAACTGTATGTCATAGTCACACCAGGGGGTTGTGTTGGAGTTGTACCCGTGCTTCTCCCCTTAGCTGTTATTGTACTCACTGGTACCAATGTAGTATCAGTGCCTGGTTTCTCTGTTTTTGTCTTAGTGGTAACTTCAGGTGTCACAGTCACACCAGGGGATTGTGTCGGCGGTGTACCAGTGCTTCTCTCCTCTGGTGTCATTGTACTGGCTGGTTCCAATGTTGAATCAGTGCCTGTTTCGACTGTTTTAGCCTTAGTGGTAACTTCAGGCAACGAAATTCCAGTAGTTGAACTGTATGTCATAGTCACACCAGGGGGTTGGGTTGGAGTTGTACCTGTGCTCCTCTCCTTAGCTGTTATTGTTCTCACTGGTACCAATGTAGTATTAGTGCCTAGTTCCTCTGTTTTTGTCTTAGTGGTAACTTCAGAGATCACAGGTGTACCAGCGCTTCTCTCCTCTGGTGTCATTGTACTGGCTGGTTCCAATGTTGTATCAGTGCCTGGTTCAACTGTTTTTGCCTTAGTGGTAACTTCAGGTGAAGTAATTCCAGTAGTTGAACTGTATGTCATAGTCAGACCAGGGGGTTGTGTTGGAGTTGTACCCGTGCTTCTCCCCTTAGCTGCCATTGTACTGGCTGGTTCCAATGTAGTATCAGTGCCTGGTTCGACTGTTTTTGTCTTAGTGGTAACTTCAGAGATTACAGGTGTACCAGCGCTTCTCTCCTCTGGTGTCATTGTACTGGCTGGTTCCAATGTTGTATCAGTGCCTGGTTCGACTGTTTTTGCATTAGTAGTAACTTCAGGTAAAATAATACCAGTAGTTGAACTGTATGTAATAGTCACACCAGGGGGCTGTGTTGGAATTGTACCAGTGCTTCTGACTTCAGCTGTCATTGTACTGGCTAGTCCCAATGTAGTATCAGTGCCTGGTTCAACTGTTTTTGCCTTAATGGTAACTTCGGGTGAAGAAATTCCAGTAGTTGAACTGTATGTCATAGTCACACCAGGAGGTTGTGTTGGAGTTGTACCCGTGCTTCTCTTCTCTTCTGCGATTGTACTGGCTGGTTCCAATGTAGTATCAGTGCCTGGTTCCTCTGTTTTCGCCTTAGTGGTAACCTCAGGTGTCACAGTCACACCAGGGGATAGTGTTGGTGGTGCAACAGTGCTTCTCTCCTCTACTATCATTGTACTGGCTGGTTCCAATGTAGTATCAGTGCCTGGTTCTACTGTTTTTACCTTAGTGGTAACTTTAGGTGAAGAAATTCCTGTAGTTGAACTGTATGTCATAGTCACACCAGGGAATTGTGTTGGAGGGGTAGCAGTACTCGCTTGTTGTAATGTAGTATCAGTGCCTCGTTCAACTGTTTTTGCCTTAGTGGTAACTTCAGGTGAAGTAATCCCAGTAGTTGAACTGTATGTCATAGTCACACCAGGGGGCTGTGTTGGAGTTGTACCAGTGCTTCTGTCCTCTGCTGTCATAGTACTGGCTGGTCCCAATGTAGTACCAGTGCCTGGTTCAACTGTTTTTGTATTAATGGTAACTTCGGGTGAAGTAATTCCAGTAGTTGAATTGTATGTCATAGTCACACCAGGAGGTTGTGTTACAGTTGTGCCCGTGCTTCTCATATCTTCTGCCATTGTACTGGCTGGTTCCAATGTAGTATCAGTGCCTGGTTCCTCTGTTTTTGCCTTAGTGGTAACATCAGGGGTCACAGTCACACCAACAGATTGTGTTAGAGATATAGCAGTGTTAATATCCTCTGCTTTTATTGTAGTGATTGCTTCCAATGTAGTATCAGTGCCTGGTTCCTCTGTTTTTGCCTTAGTGTTAACATCAGGGGTCACAGTCACACCAACAGATTGTGTTAGAGATGTAGCAGTGTTAATCTCCTCTGATTTTATTGTAGTGATTGCTTCCAATGTTGTATCAGTGCCTGGTTCGACTGTTTTAGCCTTAGTGGTAACTTCAGGCAACGAAATTCCAGTAGTTGAACTGTATGTCATAGACACACCAGGGGGTTGTGTTGTAGTTTTACCCGTGCTTCTCCCCTTAGCTGTTATTGTACTCACTGGTACCAATGTAGTATCAGTGTCTGGTTCCTCTGTTTTTGTCTTAGTGGTAACTTCAGGTGTCACAGTCACATCAGGGGATTGTGTCGGATGTGTACCAGCGCTTCTCTCCTCTGGTGTCATTGTACTGGCCAGTTCCAATGTTGTATCAGTGCCTGGTTCGACTGTTTTAGTCTTAGTGTTAACTTCAGGCAACGAAATTCCAGTAGTTGAATTGTATGTCATAGTCACACCAGGGGGTTGCGTTGGAGTTGTACCCGTGCTTCTCCCCTTAGCTGTTATTGTAATTACTGGTACAAATGTAGTATCAGTGTCTGGTTCCTCTGTTTTTGTCTTAGTGGTTAATTCAGGCGAAGAAATTTCAGAAGTTGGACTGTATGTCATAGTCATGCCAGGGGGTTGTGTTGGAGTTGTACCCGTGCTTCTTTCCTCTGATGTCATTGTACTGGCTGGTTTCAATGTAGTGTCAGTGCCTGGTTCCTCTGTTTTTGTCTTAGTGGTAACTTCAGATGTCACAGTCACACCAGGGGATTGTGTCGGAGGTGTACCAGCGCTTCTCTCCTCTGATGTCATTGTACTGGCTGGTTTCAATGTAGTGTCAGTGCCTGGTTCCTCTGTTTTTGGCTTAGTGGTAACTTCAGATGTCACAGTCACACCAGGGGATTGTGTCGGAGGTGTACCAGCGCTTCTCTCCTCTGATGTCATTGTACTGGCTGGTTTCAATGTAGTGTCAGTGCCTGGTTCCTCTGTTTTTGCCCTAGTGGTTACTTCAGGCGAAGGAATTCCAGTAGTTGAACCGTATGTCATAGTCACACCAGGGGATTGTGTTGGAGTTGTACCAGTGCTTCTTTCCTCTGATGTCATTGTACTGGCTGGTTTCAATGTAGTGTCAGTGCCTGGTTCCTCTGTTTTTGCCTTAGTGGTTAATTCAGGCGAAGAAATTTCAGAAGTTGGACTGTATGTCATAGTCATGCCAGGGGGTTGTGTTGGAGTTGTACCCATGCTTCTCTTCTCTGCTGTTATTGTACTGACTGGTGCTAATGTAGTATCAGTGCCTGGTTCCTCTGTTTTTGTCTTAGTAGTGACTTCAGGTGTAACAGTCACACCAGGGGATAGTGTTGGTGGTACACCAGTGCTTCTCGTCTCTGTTGTCATTGTACTCACTGGTTCCAATGTAGTATCAGTGCCTGGTTCCTCTGTTTTTGCCTTAGTGGTAACTTCAGCTGAAGTAATTTCAGAAGTTGAACTGTGTGTCATAGTCATGCCAGGGGGTTGTGTTGGAGTTGTACCCGTACTTCTCTTCTCTGCTGTTATTGTACTGACTGGTTCTAATGTAGTATCAGTGCCTGGTTCCTCTGTTTTTGTCTTAGTAGTGCCTTCAGGTGTAACAGTCACACCAGGGGATAGTGTTGGTGGTACACCCGTGCTTCTTTCCTCTACTATCATTGTACTGACTGGTTCCAATGTAGTGCCAGTGCCTGGTTCCTCTGTTTTTGCTTTAGTAGTAACTTCAGGCAAAGAAATTCCAGTAGTTGAACTGTATGTCACAGTCACACCAGGGGGTTGTGTTGGAGGAGTACCAGTGCTTCTCTCCTCTGCTGTTATTTTACTCACTGGTACCAATGTAGTATCAGTGCCAGGTTTCTCTGTTTTTGCTTTAGTGGTAACTTCAGGTGAAGTAGTTCCAGAAGTTGAACTGTAAGTCATAGTCGCCTCAGGGGATTGTGTTGGAGGTATACCATTGCTTCTCTCCTCTGATGTCATTGTACTGGCTGGTTCCAATGTAGTATCAGTGTCTGGTTCTACTGTTTTTGCCTTAGTGGTAACTTCAGGTGTCACAGACGCACCAGCGGATTGTGTTAGAGGTGCACCAGTGCTTCTCTCTGCTGTCATTGTACTGGCTGGTTCCAATGTAGTATCAGTGCCTGGTTCTACTGTTTTTGCCTTAGTGGTAACTTCAGGTGTCACAGACGCACCAACGGATTGTGTTGGAGGTGTACCAGTGCTTCTTTCCTCTGATGTCATTGTACTGGCTGGTTTCAATGTAGTGTCAGTGCCTGGTTCCTCTGTTTTTGCCTTAGTGGTTAATTCAAGCGAAGAAATTTCAGAAGTTGGACTGTATGTCATAGTCATGCCAGGGGGTTGTGTTGGAGTTGTACCCGTGCTTCTCTTCTCTGCTGTTATTGTACTGACTGGTTCTAATGTAGTATCAGTGCCTGGTTCCTCTGTTTTTGTCTTAGTAGTGACTTCAGGTGTAAAAGTCACACCAGGGGATAGTGTTGGTGGTACAACAGTGCTTCTCTTCTCTGTTGTTATTGTACTGACTGGTTCTAATGTAGTATCAGTGCCTGGTTCCTCTGTTTTTGTCTTAGTAGTGCCTTCAGGTGTAACAGTCACACCAGGGGATTGTGTTGGAGGTGAACCAGTGCTTCTCTCCTCTGCTGTCATTGTACTAGCTGGTTCCAATGTAGTATCAGTGCTTGGTTCTACTGTTTTTGCCTTAGTGGTAACTTCAGCTGAAGTAATTTCAGAAGTTGAACTGTGTGTCATAGTCATGCCAGGGGGTTGTGTTGGAGTTGTACCCGTACTTCCCTTCTCTGCTGTTATTGTACTGAGTGGTTCCAATGTAGTATCAGTGCCTGGTTCTACTGTTTTTGTCTTAGTAGTGACTTCAGTGTAAAAGTCACACCAGGGATAGTGTTGGTGGTACAACAGTGCTTCTCTTCTCTGTTGTTATTGTACTGACTGGTTCTAATGTAGTATCAGTGCCTGTTCCTCTGTTTTGTCTTAGTAGTGCCTTCAGTGTAACAGTCACACCAGGGGA